AGGTTCGACGGTTTTCAAATGCATCCGAATCTTAATCACTGGTATCTCTTTTTCGCATTGTTCACCATCGCTATTGGAATCACTACACAGGAAAGGAGGCCACATTTTAAACAAATAACAAACATTTTGAGTAATTATAATTTCTCCAATATCGAATTTCAACACTCAAATCACGATCAGTTCCTGAAGTGAACATTGACAACAGAACTGCTACCATCCTCGCATTCTATTAGTCACTGTAACATGACTTCAAATTTAATTTTATGACTCTTCAGCCAATCATAAAACACGGTTAGTAAAAATTATCCAATACGAACCGCCAATTCTTCGGTCCACGTGGACTAATTCGTAGCGGCATTATTCCTTTGTATTGTTTTTTTTTGCCTTCGGGTTCGCCGATAGTTTTGAGATTACTATATCGGTTACTTCGACTATACGTGAATAGACTTTTCCAGATACCCAATGCACTACTCGTTTTCCCCCCACCTCTCTAGGGCGTCCAATAGGCGCGCAGTCTCGTTATTTAATAGCTGGACCTCGTAGAAATCAATGAATATAAATAAAACATTTTTGAGGAAAATGGAAATCGACCCCATTTTTTGAACATACAGCATATTCACATTCGAAAAACTGAAAAGACTCACATTTCATTTCGTAATAAGTTCAGCCTTCTCAAATGAAGGAAGGTATGGGCCCGTTACTAGTGAAATTGCATCTAAAGATAACGACCAAGAAGAACTAGAAACACACCCACTACACGTTTCACAACTTGGAATAATAACAATAGCGGTCGATCAAACACACCCATTCAACGTTCTGAGAAGAAATTACTTTAAACAGGCAGGTTACTTCAATCTTTCTAGCTATGTAACAAAAATAAATGGCTGGCGAAAATATTGCACGAGTGTTATGAAATTCTAGAACATCTACGAACTATAAAGCAGCTTTTGTAAAGAGTACATTTATCAAAATCTGACGATTCTAGAGTGACGTAGGGGTGATTTTGATAAATGTACTATTTTTACCTAGAAATTAAGACACCATACTCAATTTAACGCATTCGAATATTTCTGAGCAGGGCAAGTAGGCTACCCTACTGGCCCTGCTCTCAGTTAATATACAGGGTGTTCCTTAAATACATGCTAATATTTGAGGAGGTAATTCTTAGACCCATTTTGAAGAAAAAACTTCCTATGGACGTATGTCCTAAACGCCTTAACTTTTGAGATACAGGGTGGCAAAGTTTTCAAAAATAATCAGTTTTTTAATAATAACTGAGATAATTTTGTAGACATCTTTGGCATATTTGGTACATATGTTCCATGCCTCAAGGCG